GGGGGGGGGGGGGGGGGGGGGGGGGGGGGGGGGCAGCGTCCCTACAGGAAGTTGGTGGAGTTTTTGCCTGCATCGATCTTGAACTCATAGGCATCATCAGAGGAGCCGAGAAGGGTGGTGGAGGAGGGGGGCACAGGAGAGGAAGCAGCTTCAGCCTGGGGAGGTGGGGGGGGAAATGCAATGTTTATGTCCACATTCATCTGAACACATTTGACAATGCCTTTTTTCTTTCACTATTTCTTGTATATGTTTTGCCAGATGTAGTTGCGAGTGCATTGGGAGGGTGGAGCTTGCCCCCCCAACCTGGCAACCCCCGCGCTGGGTGACTGTCTGAAGGAAGCATCCATCTAAGTAGAAATCTACGGTTCACCACCAACCACCTCACATTTGAAAAAGGTCTCCCCTCTCAGCGACAGACCCGCTGAGAAACCAACTCTGATCATCAGCAGCTCTGTTCTGAGAGACGTGTTTACCAGGAGACACAGAGACACAGTCACATGCATTCCTGTGGCCAGACCGGTCGACATTGAATCCTATTTAATGCTGTTGGCTAAAGATAAGCATAAATACAGTAAGATTGTTATTCACATCCGCAGTTATGACTTCCGCTTACGCCCTTTGGAGCTCACTAGAATTAATCAAAGACAAAGTGGGACTCCGTAGCTCTCTCTGGCCCCCTCCCAAACCTGACCAATGATGAAATGTTTAGCCTCCTGTCATCATTGATGGCTCTGGATGGAGCGGATCTCATATCTATAAATCTGACCCAGTTAATGGACCTAAACCATGACAACCCAGAGTTCAGACCAGGAAGCATAGCTGCAGTCTTCCATTAGAGCAGTTACCCCCCCTAAACCCAGAGAGACTGTGTCTGCCCAACGGCTGCTTAAATGAATGCAATCAAAAGTAAACAGAAGAGTTAAACAAAATAACCTAATTAAAGTTAACACCAACGCAACAGTGCAACAAAATAGGAGGATTAAATGTGGACTCTTAAATATCAGATCTCTGTCATCTAAAGCTGTATTAGTAAACGATTTAACATCAGATAATCATATTGATTTATTTTGTCTTACTGAATCAACCCCTCCAAATCATATTAATACTCACATTCCTCGAGGCACCAGCCGAGGAGGTGGAGTAGCAGCCATCTTTGACTCAAGCCTATTAATAAACCTAAACTAAATTATAACTCATTTGAAAGCCTGGTTTTTAATCTTTCACACCCAAACTGGAAAACACTAAAGCCAATTCTATTTGTTATAGCGTACCACACTCCAGGTGAAATATTCAACCCCCCGCCCGGTGGATAGATAAACCATTGCAGCTTCTACACAGGGTGCTTAGGGGCGTCACATATCACCCCCACGTTCACTACGTCATTACAGGGGATCTCCTCTCAGCCAAGGACCCAGCACAAATCTGCCTTTTCCCCATTACTGAGGGAGGGGAAAGTCTAGGTTCTTACATCTATACTAATTTACTCAAAAAGCTGTTTGATACAATATCAAATCTCTTTCTGTTAGAAACAGCCAGCGCCTTGGAACAAATAGGGCTCAGCAACATAACATATATATTTCTAGAATATCCCGAAAGTTACCTATGATCTCTTTCTTTTGGTGGGAACTGTCTCTCTCTTACAGTGTGTGTGTGTACCTGTTGTGTGGTAGGCAGCAGTTGGTCGGCAGGTGAGGAAACAGGTTCACTGGCAGCTGCTGGTGGTGCAGAGCTATACATGACTGGAGCTGGAGCATAGCCCTATGGAGTACACACACACACACACACACACACACACACACACACACACACACACATTGGTTTTATCTTTTTTGAACATTTGATTCATCCCCTGACACCTCTGTTGAGGACTTTGTGTCCTGCTGAACGACTCAATGTAGTTTTGCACAAGAGCAAACACATTTGTATGTGACCTAACAGATGTATCTTGATCACAGATTTCCCCCTTTGTCCATGCAGCAACAGAGGTTGGTGCTACTCATAAATCTAGAGGAACTAGAACTGTTTTTTTGTTTTCCTGCATCACATCTAGTTGACATTGTCTTTTTGTTTCAGCCTCCTCCGGGGGAAAGATGGCTACGAGTGTCGTGCAGTGTGTTCAACTCGAAAAGGCTCGTACTTCACGCACTTCAGTCCGAGTTAAACGCAGTGAATATTGACACAAAATGACAGTCTGCTGCTCATTGAAACACACCGGTGTGCAGACCCGATGTACATTATTGATGCTGCACTGAAGACCCAGCTGAAAATAACAGATTCCATTTTGTCCACTTGTCCATTATTAGATGAAAGCCTAGGGTATGTTTCAGAACTTGAAGTTTGTAAACAGTTAAAAGGACAGAACAAGGTGAAATATTGAATTGACCAGCATTCTATTTAGGAATTTAGTCAGTTAAAGAGATACCATTGGAGCTGCAGGTCCGAGGGGGTAGTCGCCTGGTGGTGGACCGTTCCATTGTGGAGGCTGGGCAGGACCAGCTGGACCAGCGAGAGGGTAGCCAGGGTTCTGGGGAGGGTAGCCAGGGTTCTGGGGTGGGTAGCCAGGGTTCTGGGGTGGGTAGCCAGGGTTATACCCCTGCAGACAGAGACAATCAGGAATTAGATTGTGAAATAGTGAGGGAGGAAGCAGGAAAACAGGAAATCTGGAAAGTCAGGGAAAAGACAAACTACTAAAAAGCAACAAAAAAAAAAATCACCCCTGAATGAAAACTGATTACAACTAATAGTCCACTGTTGACCAAGTTTATCCATGCTTAGTGTGATACTAACTGTTGATGGTGGGGGGCCGTTCCACGCTCCTGGGCCAGCGGTTGGAGGGGGAGGATGGAATGTAGGATCCTAAACAGGAATACACACACACACACGCACACACACACACACACACCCACACACACACACAGAGACACACACACACACACACACACACACAGAGACATGTACACAAGAAGAAAAACATTTGTCTTAGTTCAGCATTACACAATCAATACACGAGTTATAGGTTGCATAACGATTGTGTAAATAGATATATACTCTGTGTATTATGTACTGTCTTATGTACCATGTTAGGGTCTGGGCCGTGGTAGTACGCCTGCAAACAGAATAAACACACACATTCTTTAATTTGGTAAATAAACATCAAGAAATCAACCCCAGATTCACGCAGAGACATCAGTATAAACACGCCGAACACACACAACATATAGCCTTTGTGGACTAATAAAGTTGTATTGAATTGAAGTGAATATAAGGACATGTTTATGAAGTAAGAACATCCATGAATTCATAAAAAAAAAGTGTAAGTATAATCTCACCACTCCCGGTTGTCCAGGAGTGTTGTAAGAAGGACAAGGTCCCACAGGACCACCGGGAGGAGGATGGACTGCAACTGGTGTGGACTGGAGAGAGAGAGAGAGAGAGAGAGAGAGAGAGAGAGAGAGAGAGAGAGAGAGAGAGACAGAGAGAGAGAGAGAGAGAGAGAGAGAGAGAGAGATAGAGAGAGAGAGACAGAGACAGAGAGAGACAGAGAGAGACACAAAGAGAGACAGAGAGAGAGACACGATGAAGCAAATCATTGTTTCGGATCGATCATTTGTTGAATATTTTCTTTGATTAAATAAAAGTATTTTAAATGTCAGAAACTAGAGAAAAATCCAATAACTTCTGTTGTTCAAACAAACAACCCCAAAACCCGACGAGATATTCAGTCCACACTTGTCTAAGAAAGAAAGCAGGAAACCCTCACATTACAAAGCGTGTCTCCAGATAGAGTCGTACTTGCTGTGACTACTGTTAGTACCTGTAGCGGTGCAGCGGTGGAGGGTTTCTTTTTGAAAATCTTCTTCCGACAGCAGCAGCAAACCCCAGCAGGGATGCCGAGCAGTAAGAGCAGAGCCAAGAGAGGGTTTCCATCAGAGTCCTCACGATGGTCTGCAGTGGAGAAGAGTGTGTGTGTGATTAGGACTGTACCTGTGACATTATAGATATAGGACATTCTTTTTATCCAAGAGCAGTAAAGGCAGGTCCATAAATATCTACCCTATCTGAAAGGTACCCATGACTATCTTTTCTGAAAAAATGTGTGTGCGACAGTACATATTCTGCCATTTCCGCCCACAATTCAGCACCAGCAATGGGTTGCCAGATAACCTGTTTCGTTATTCTCTCTTCATTTTGGCATGCTGTTTACAGTCACCAGCACCGGGGGCACCAGTTACTCATTTGGCTTTTCTCCTCCCACTTCAGAAACTTCCCGCTGCTTTCATTGTGAATACTGGTTGGCAGTTAGTCATTCGGCTGTTCTCGTCTCACTTCAGCAACCTCATGCTATTTCTGGTACCGGCACTGGGTTGCCAGTTAAACCTTCAGCTAACAACCTCATCTCAACATTCTCTTTCCGATTCCGTTACAGGCACCTGTTTTGCCAGTTTCTCATTCGATCCCCTCATTTCACCAACGTCTCCCTATTTCTGTTAACACCACTGTGATGTCAGGTTCTCAGTCAACTCCAAATAACCATTTTGAACAGTTCAAAAAGGCCATTACTAGTTCCCTTGAACCCATCCACGATTTACGGCCTAAACACAGTTGGTTTTGGGGGTTTATAAGGACGGAAAATAGTTCTCTAATAATCGACCTACCAACCTTCAGCTATTTTCAGCCATAAATACCCCTTTGTCAACACCCCCCCCCCACGACAATTGTCATTCATTCCAACAACCTTGTCTGCTAGGCCATAATTCAATATGATAATTCATAGTCTTTTAAGATGATCATAACGTGATATAATGACAAATTGATTATAATAAGCATATACTAACTCAAATTTCTCCGAAAATCTGATTATTTTGCACTTAAGGATGAAATGAAGGAGAAAATACTATATCTAATATAAGCAAATACAAAACCATGTGGTTTTATCATATAGAGTATTTATTAATTGAATTACCAGAAAATATGCAATAATGTAACATACATTGTTATCGAGATATGGAATGACCGTTGAACATTTTGGCCATATTGCCCAGCCATAATACCTGGTCATCATAACGTAATTGCTGACTCGCCTTATTGTATAGCCAGCCCCTCCCTCCATCTGGCTTGCATGTTCCCCATCTGACCCTCTGATTGCGTCCAACCGCACGGACACCAATGTTGGTAACTCTCTGTCACTTGGACAAGGTCTAACCGTGTCTCTCCATATCCCTGTGGACTCGCACATGAACTTTGCACTATGATCAATGCTGATTGATACCAGGTGCTGTGTAACGTAATCATTTTCTGTGATGAGCTGGGCAGCGGTCACTCACAGGTAAGTTTGACACATGACGCAGCAAAGCTCTGGCTTTAGACTGAAAATGCAGCCTTTGATTTAATCGAGTCAGTGAGTTAATGTTGTTGAATACAGACATGGCTCCACCCTTCCATTCATTGATAGGTTGGTCTACTTTGAGACTATTTCATACAACTATATTAATTGGCTATTTCCTTTTGTTAAGAAAGGTGGTGCTCCAAGGTGATTTTAGAGTAAATTAAATGATATTATTGGATGTAAGTATGAAACATTTTTGATAATTAATTACTTTTGATATCCATTATAATGCCTTTGGTATTACTGCACCAACACCATTGTGATGCTCTGTTTTGAGAATTATAATAATATTACAAATTGTATTTATATATTCATAATTATCTTTAATATCTGCGTCCCCAACACATTTTTGGAGGGAGCTGGAGAAAAATACTTCCATTACCAATGACTCCTCTACTGTAGATGTTGTGCACATGAGAAATAAAAACTTGTAAATGCGGTCAACTATCAGAAAGTGCTTCTTTTTTTTTTGGTGCAAATTGCATGAAGCTGCAAGTTTTAAGAACTTTTGTTGACATTGTTGTGTTTATTTGCTGCATGATATAAATAGTTAGCCTCGCTGACTTTTCCACAAGCCGGTCCTATAAATGTTCCACAACAAAAGCTTAGCTAAGAAGTGAATGGATTTTGTCCACTGAAACGCTAAATGGCTCTTTATTTGAAATGGATACGGGAAGTGTTGAGTATGTATTAACGGCATAATCCAGAAACAGAAATGTAGCAGGGCAAACTGGAGCAGATCAAACAAGGAGGCTTCATACTAAAATATGACCAAACATGCTTGTCGAACAGAATGAGAGAGGAATAAAGGCCTGTCTGTAATACAAGCCTGCTTCAAATAAAGGACGGGTACCCTCTGCACTTGAGCTAATTAAAGCCCATTTAGAAAATGTACGGCACATGGGGACCCACCTGTCAGGTCCATCCTGGTGACAGACACCACCCGGTCTCTCCGGTCTATTAGGGTGTAATGTCCCACATCACTGTAGTTCATGTTCGTGATCTCGATTTTCGTGGATTGGGTGTGAACCCGGTCCCAATAATTCGGCAGGTCCTGGGACACCTGAGCACCGTCGTGCACCTGAGGGAGACAAACGTCTGTCAGAGCATCACTCTGCATTTCCCTCTGAATCACAACTCATTTCTTTCCAGCTCTGAAAATGTAAATCAAATGTGTAAGTATGTTTCCAATTTGTAAATTGTATTTTTATTAACGTTCCACCTCTTTGGCACCTCCTAATTTTCCGTAGCCCCGTCTTCCCCTCACAGTGTGGCCGCAGAGATTTTGGCTTCTATTTCCTCGTTCTGTTCATTTCTTTTGTAAATTGTTAATTAGCAGATGTGATGGGAGAGAGAGACCAGAGGGCAAATCATGTGTTGTATATTGTCTTCTGCAGGTATGTGTCTCCCTTTGTTTAATGTTATCATTGTTTTGCTGTCTCTGTTAAGTCACTCCACCCCATGCACTAGTTTACTTTGGCCACTAGGTGTCACTTTTCCTCTTGTACATCACTTGTCAAGAATTGTTGTTCTAATTTAGCTTTGATGTTTCCCTGTCAATTTGAATGGCTCTCTTCTAGTAATGTACTACACAGTAATGTGAAATACTAAGCTGAGTACATACTGTATTTACTGCATTTAAAGAAAAAGAATGAACACTACCCAGTGTTGTTTTGTACTGCTGAGGGAGCAGATGTGCAGATCGACCAGAAGGCCATTAATGGGTTCTATATAGTCTTCTGTGGAATATACACACTGTATATACTGTATATGCTTACACATAGGCAGGCAAGCTAAAGGGGGGGGGAAATCCTACTTAGCTGTTTGTATATATGTTAGATATATACAAATATGAGAACAATATTTGAGTACACAAATGCTGAGAGATGAAAACAGGGGTTGTGAAACAAATTGAACCCCCTACTTCTGCAACTTTAACAATGAATCCCCAGATATTGAATGCTTCCATCCCTCTGCTCATTTTTATCCATCCATCCATCCATCCTTTCATCCATCTATCTCACCAGTGTAACGTTGACATTCTCCCCAGAGAAGGAGAGGGACGCGTCGCTCAGGTCAATGCCCTCCAGCTGGATGTAAAGACTCTGTCCTGCTACACACTTGGCATAGTTGTGTCTGGCTGGAACGGAGAGGAGAAGAATAAAGAAACAGATATCGAGAAAGAAAGTCAAAATATGGAGCTGTATTTGTAACAGATGGTAACCAAGCTTAAAAAAAAGAAAGAGAAGTCGGTCTTTATAGTACAAGGTGTCCCCCTCATCACCACTGTTTTCTGATGATGATATAAAGAGAGAAAGGTGTTGTGAAATAATCACGGTGGGTTTTCTAAAAAAAAAAGAAATACCGCCTTGCTCAAAGTAATTCATTCCGGGTTTTACCGACACAATCTTTTGAAAATGTTACTTACACTCACTTTAAAGCTGTGTTCACAAACAAACATAAGTTACAGCAACCAAAGCTAAAATAGGGCTGAGCTAACTCACGTGTGACGGCTACTTTGACGGAGGAGATTTCTTTATTCCAGTAGTCTTTCTGGGTGTACGTCCCCTGGTCCTCATAGGTCACCTAACAAAAAAAACATATACAGAGTACATCAATACACTGTGGAAACCTAGAATCTCTGGTCACACACAAGCAGGTGTTTTGTGTGTACTGTACAACATCCACGAGAATCTATTATCGCACTTCAACAAGAGTTAATGAGTACGTACTTCCTCTAACGCGGAGGACAGTTGATGAGGAAGTCTTTCAGTGGCCCAAGACAAATTTCCGTGCTCACTAAAAGAATGTGGCCTTCTGTAGCAACTCGCTAGAGCCAGTCTGCGTTTGTCTCTACTAGGCTACTGTAGAAAAATAGAGGTGCAACATGGTGGAGAGGAGCTATGTAGATATAAACATTTCTTAGTTATAGGTCATCATTCACTAATGAAAGCCTAGATATGAATATTATATTCCATTACTGCCAGTAAATCCGCCAAAATCCTACACACTGTTCCTTTACAATAAGATAGGAGAAGATAATATAAGTTTGCACACACACACACACTTCCATACACTAATGGCAGAGGATGTTGTCCAACCTGCTCGTTAGGATGTAAACGGATCCTCATTTACACACACACACACACACACACACATACACACACACACACACACACACACCCACACCCACACACACGTACACACACAATCACACACCGATGGCACAGCAATTTCGGATGCAGTATCGTGTTTGATCTGGTGATCAAACAGTAGATCTTCCTATTAGTGGAAGAACTGAGCCACAGCCGCCTCAATAATCAAAAGGTATATACAAGTAGAATAAGAAAGGAAGCATAAATAGAAGCTGTGCCAGCCCAGTTAAAGACAAAGCTACGAGTTAAAGTGACTTATTACATCAAATGTAGACTTTAGATTTAATTCATTGATTCAGACTTAATACAAATATACTTTGGTTACCTTGTCAATGTACCAGCGTCGGTCAGTGCCTGTACCCGACACCCTGCCTTTGGTCATCCTGTAGGACAGAAACAAATAGCCACATAGAAATCAACTGCAACAACACTGGAAGCAACTTTCAGCTTCCCTCCATGACCATCATGTCAGAACACGGGCTTGTCCCCGAATGATTCTGACCTGATTCGGCCCTTCTCCCAGTACGTAAGGGTCTTGGCAGGGTGATCAGCTGGAGTGAACTCCAGCCTGTCCGCACCCTTAGGCAGGTGGATCTTCAGCTGCCGACCGTGGGCCAAACGCTCATGGATATCATGGACAAGATAGGAGTCTGAAACCAAAGCAGGGGGAGAAAGAAAACGAGGCAGTGTGCACGCTGCTAAAACATGGTGTTGAAAAGAATATGTGAAACTAAAGAAAACATTCGCAGTTAATATTTCTAAATTATGACACACAAATTGCAATATACAATGTGATCATCTCAAACTGCTAAGGGAAGTGTACGCAACAATGCACATCCATCAAATAGTGTATATAGAAATCTGACAATTCTAGTGAAAACTGTCCTTTCTAGTCAAATACTACATTTAGTGGCTTTTACTGACCTGTTTTTACAACAGACATCTTTGACTCCTAATAGCAGAAGATGCATGTTGTTGCAAGATGCAACATGATCTTTCTTTTGGAGTTGTGTTTGTGTCCACCAACAACCGCTCTGCGTTATTGCCACGAGGCCCGCGGGGCTACATGTAACGTATAGGTGCATATGAGTTGAGCAAGTGAAGCTGAAAGTTGCTGCCAGTGTTGTTGCGGTTGATTTCCATGTGGATACTTTACTTTTCTTATTAATGCTTTTTTTTTGTTCTGCACAACTATTGTGAAGTTCACAAAGAAACTGTAAACGAACAAAAGCATAACAAAAGCATGCTCTCCAGTACGACAGAGAGTGTGAGAACAGACAACAACAAAACCGAGTGAGAGACGTGTGTTGGCCAAATTTATTGACAAATAATCTAGTAAAACTCTGATTTATTTTGATTTATTATAATACGTCGTATTTTCTGTAACTAAGAAACCAATCTACTTCCTGTTTATACTGGCCCAGTGCAAGTGAATAGTCATGTGATATTGATTTTCAGGCGTGGACTGAGACTGAGATCACACCTTTCAAAGACAGCAGGGCAGAAAAGAGATGCTACTCACCCACACTGAGAGCAGTGGCCAGCAGGATCACAACACACCACATCATCTGCAGACGAGACACAGAAGAGATTACATTGAAGCTAATCACAAGTAGACTTCACTTGGTTCACTTTAACGGAACTGACAATAAATGTGCTGTGAAACTTTAACAATCAGTGAAAAGAGGCTACAAAGGGCCTGATCTAGAACATTCTCTGTGGGTTCATCTCATTATTTGACTCAGCATTATTATAGAACAAGACTTAAGAGTGAACAGCTGTGCTGCAGCTCTGTGAGCTAAACGCTAACATCAGCCCGCTAACATGCTCACAATGGTACACATGCTGATTTTTAGCAGCTATAAAATTGTCCCTGTTTACATTGTAGTTTAGCGTGTTAGCATGCTAACATTTGCTAATTAACGCTGAACACTAAGTACAGCTGAGGCTCATGGGAATGTCGCAGGTTTTGCAGGTACTTGGTCATATAATATTTGGCAAAATTTAAATTGCTGACCTGATAAACATGAAAATGCAGAGAGGGTGTACTTCATTTCACAGCAATCAAACCAAAAATGTTATAATATATATAATATATAATAAAAAAACAGGAATGTGGATTGTGATTTTACCGTGGTCGTGCCTGACGCCCACTGCTACTATTATTGTTATGAATAGTCACATTTCTATTACTATTACTGCTTTTATTGCCATTATTATTAATATATTAAATCCATTGCTGCTATTATTATTAAAAGTCATCCCTTTTCTGTTATCACTCTACTAGTATTGGTGCTACTACTGCTATCTCTACGCTCATATGTATTATGTATGTCATATGGATTGACGATGTTGTAACAGTTATGTCTATTTTCTGTCAACATGACATCTATCACACTTCTGTCCATCCTGGGAGAGGGATCCTCCTCTGTTGCTCTCTCTCTCTCTCTCTCTCTGAGGTTTCTTCCATCTTTTGGGTGAGTTTTTCCTTTTCCGATGCGAGGATCCAATAACAGAAAGAGTTGCATACTGTACAACTGGTAAATCCCTCTGAGGGGCCAATGTTGTTATTTGTGATTTTGAGCTATAAAAAATAATTGAATTGAAATGTCTACTTCATGATGGCAGTAAAGGAAAACTCAAAGTCATTATCAGACATCCTCTGTCCTTGAACCCTCGCATCAGAAAAAGAAAAACTCCCCAAAAAAACTTTAACAGGGATAAAAAAAAAATGTAAAAAGCGTATTCATGAACCAGCTGAAACCCACATGGTACATTTACTACCACTTCACAACATCACTGTTAATTTCTTATAAAACATGCATCAAACTGTGTCAACACCCTACAAACAAAGGATTGAAAGATCACATGTGAAACAAGGGTACGGCAAAATATGAATTTATACAGAAAAACACCATTATTTTAGAGCTCCCTCTATATTTTTCAAATGAGGCTTTCAGGGTCAAGGTTTGCGAGGTTGGTGACAAACGTGTTGAGCAGCAACAACAACCGCATGTGAAATGAGGAAGTGGATCAGATGATTGATACTGGAGGAAAAGGCCTGATCAGTAGAAACACTAGTAAGAAACTCCCAACTCGACCAACCATTGGTGTGACTTCAAAAGCGTTAGCGTGACATGCAGCAGATCTTTGCTGGGATGGTAAAGCAAGAGAAATATGCATTTCAGTCTCCATACGTTTCTGTAATCCTTTTGTAAAACAAAGAAGAGTTAATCCCCCCAGTAATATTGTAACAGACTGTAGTTGATCCAGGATCCATTCTGATAGGGCTGCACAATTAATCAAAATCGCAATATAGGCACAATATTTTGTTTCAGGCGAAATACCATTTTAGATTACTGGATGATAAAGAAAAACATCTTTGTTTGCTACAGATCCCACCGTGATCATTTTAATATGTTTTTCAGTGAAAAGGAGAATAATGATGTAAAAACACACCAGGTGGACACGCTAATTGATGCCCCTTTTATAGGTGATACAGGTCAAAGTGAAACTATAATGAACAAAATCAACAGGGATTTTGGACAATTAATATGACTTATTAACATGAAAAACATTCAGTTAATATGCTCTCTTCAAAGCTACCAGACTCCATTGACAGAAACAGCAGTTTTACCTCGCTGATCATCGAAACACGCTTCATTCAGACTCGACAGGGATCAAATACAAACTCATCAATCAAACTGCTACTTTGGCAGCTGATTGCCAATTGAGCTTTACAAGTAGCAGGCAGATGTCTTTTTCTAAAGGTTTTATAGCTGTTTTCCAAGATCTCCTGTTTTAGGAGGAAGCAGCTCCTCCATTATCTATGTGCATTGCATTGTGGGAAAACAGTGTACATCAACTGCACACAAAAGAACAAAAAGAGAAAACGTTTTTTTAGTGTGCATAATAAAAGTATTCTTAATTTTTGTAACATTTCCTGCGGGAACATATTACATATTATATTGTCAAAACTTGCTGTGGATCAGGGTTTAATCTGAAGTCTGGATAAATATTAGCTGTCATGGACACATCCACACACTGTTTCTCCTCATATTGCTGCTATGCAGGATGCCGATGGAACCTCCTTATCTCTCAAACCTCTACTCTGAATGGTCGCCAATAAACCACCGTGTTCAAACATTCACACGCGACACTGAAGAGATAAGATAAGAGCACAGCTTGAAAAGGCACTGGACTCATCTATTCATTTCTTCTCCACTCATTTCTTTCATGGAGGTCTTTAATAACAGCTGGCCTGGTTGTTGTTTTTTGAAGTTAATGCTTTAAATTAGTCTTTTCCTCTGTTATCTGTCTAGATAACCGGCAAAGCTATCGTGTGCGTTTAAATGTGATCATTTCAAACAGAGAGAGGACTTGTCTTTAGTCTAGTCGGGCTGTGTGCGCTCACTCTGCACCTGTTTGCAGCTCAGCAGCTGCCTTTCTATTCTGAGGAGTGCTGGATCCTAATTTAGCAAAAACTGCATCAATAATATTCCTTAAATTACGCAGCTCTGTACAGACCATGTGATTTAGATGAAGGACAAACTGTAGCCCGGAATGAAAACAATACTATATGAACAATAGGCTGGAAGAAATGGTGATCGACAATTGCGATAAAAAAAACTCCCTAAAAAGTTATACTTGCTCTCTTTTTTCTTTTGTACTGATCCGATCTGTGATCTATTAAAGCCCATTTCCGCAGAAAAAAATGAAGTTTTTTTTTGTTTTTTTTCTGTCGGACAAAAAGGAAAAAAAATTTAATTAAAAAAATGCACCAACACTTTTGCTGGATCCATCTGTAATCATGACACAGACCAGATGTTTCCAGTTTCTGTTCAATGAAGGTTGCCACCTCAGCCACATCGGTTTTATTCGTTCTACTCCAGAGCTGCTTCTTGCTTTAAATGGGCTTCCATAGTGATCCGATCCGAACATTGAGTTTCATGATCCTTTGCACCACAAGTTCATGCGTTAAAAGGACCCCCTCCCCCGTTTTTTCCGACAGTACATGAAGGTCTCACAGGCCCCAGCCCTGAGCAGAGGCGTGTGCCGTCCCCTCCCTGTGAGGCCTCACGTTGTGTCTGATAAACATGAACGGAACAAAAACACGGAGGGTCTTCGGCTGCCTTTCGTTCGCCGCCTTTAACCGTCGTATCTGCAATGTCCAACGTTTAGAGAAAAGGATACATACATATATATGCAATGATGATGATGTGTTTACTCATTTACTGGGATGAATAGAGCGAAGAGGTGTGGCCCGCGTGCAAGGAGAGAAAAAAAAAAAAAAGAAACGTTCGGTTATCCAAAACCTATGAAGTCCTCATCCCGAGCGCGCGCCCCACGGGAAGGAGAAAAATGACTTCACGCGCCTTTTAAAACGAGCTCAAATCACATTCGACTACCTTAGCAGGCTCTGGTTTTAAAGCTCCTGTTGAGTGCCGGACACATATCCTGCCGCTCAGCCTGTAGTCACGGCAGGCTCGTAAAAAGCACAACAAACATCACACAAAAACACACCCCGACTGTTTCCATTTACCCCCGATACGGTTCCAAATTTTGTGAATGCCTGAGAAGCAAATTAGTTTTCACCGATCATACTGGTCATACTCATCTTGTTGAATAGCCAGTCACATATGGATATGTGGCCAAAACGCGCCTGTGTCTTAATACGAGTCACCAGTGGACGTTTATAGGAGAAACACACCATGTCTCTGTCGAATTCAGCGTGTTGCAAAGCCGCACCCTCCCATTGAAGAGTCTCACTCACCGTATTGTCTCGATAGTCTTAGTCTTGTCTATTCAGAGCTCAAAGCACATTGATGGGGTTGGTATATCAGAGACGCAGCGCTGTATCCGACTAACCAGTCAGACCAGCGAGTGGAGACGAGTGGCCAAGACGTGTTGCCTTCACGATACTGTCGGAAATATCATGAATGTGCCAGAAGGTAAATCATGCCGAAACACGATCGTTATAACCTGGAAGCTTTATTATGCAAGCTCATTTCTATAGAAGCCCATTCCTATGGAAGCCCCACTTCCGCCAGCAAAAAAAAGTAAAAATAAATTAGATGAAAAAAGAAGAAGATAGAAAGTCGACATTTATGAAATAGAAAGTCATAATTATGAGATAGAAAGTCATAATTATGAGATAGAAAGTCATAATTATGAGATAAGAAGTGAGCATGCGCTTCAGTGACGATGTCTTCAAAGGTCCCTTCATCCCCTCACCAGTCTTACAATGAAAACAATATGCAATTCTAAATAAGGTAACTATTACTGGTGACTTTTGTAAATGTTAGATGTTATATATCATTATAAAGTATTTTAATCAGTCAAATGTTGCAGCTAAACACATTACAAGATTGCTGCAGTATCCTTTGTATCGTAGTATTACAGTATGTTGATAAGTAATGCGGATATTGTACATGTCCACTTAGTTGTCCTCTGTCGTTCAGAAAGGCGCTTCGCTGTGGCGATGCGGGCAGAAGTGTGTTAGCAAAATACAATTTAGAGAATGAAAAACAACAGCGAGTCTCAAGCATATAGCTCAGCTGCTGGAACCTTAAATGCAATTTAATTACTTGGAAGGCAGTGCCACTCTGTGGCTTCAAAAATGAATGATTCCACATTGCCTCAGAATAATTATACTATTATTACACTATTGTGTATGCTCTTTACAATGTCATGTTTTGCTATTTATTCAGTACACCTTTTGGTGATTTAACTCAGTCATAAGAGACAATTCACAGTCCTATTGTCCATCCAAAGTTCCTGAAATATCTCATGTTTCACATTCTTCACTCCATCGACCAGCTCAGTGATTGGCTGAAATCCGATAGGCTCCTCCGTGGCCTATGACCCGATGGTCAGTCCTCCTCGCTGACCACTTCCTGTTTCCTTCCAGATGTCAGTGTCTCTGCTGGCTCATCTATTCCATATATGTCGTCTCCTGCAAAACCCTCACTCACCTAATCTCATTCACGGTTCAGTACATTTCAGCAAATCTTCTTCACAGTGTTTAATACACTCAGTGACTGTACTTACAGTGTTCAATACTTTCAGTGACTATGCTTTTTGGTTTAAAACTTCTATAAGTAAATATACTGTCACATATAATATCCACCACTAGGGGTGCTATTAAACATACTAGGAATGCTTTTAAACTTAAGTTAATCACAGAGGGAGCCCCCGTCGCTCATATTATTGTTTCGTTACAACTTTTTAGTATTAAATATGGTGTTATGCTGAGTAACATTTAGGTTTGTGGAAATATAAGACCCAAAAGCCGTTGTATGCGGACCCGTACCTAAAACCGATAATTGATAATTAATAAATTCTAACAGAGTACTTTTATTTTTACCGGCACAGCTTTTCCAGCCTTTACGGCACTCGTTCAGCGATCCAGGAAACACACAGACCAATTACATGCGTTGTAAATCATATACTGTATGTGTATTCCTATAAATGTCGCAAATCCAGTGACATTTGCACACACACGTGAGAGAGACCCAACAGTCGGAGTACGTGAGTCAGAGAAGTTATTTCACATGACGTTCTCTAAGAAGAGAAATGTGGACAGAGAGACCAGAGTCTTTAACCAAGAACGGACAGACTCGTATATCTTCATTCTTCCTACAAGCAGCTCAAAACCAGTATGTCTCATATGTTCAGAGACCATGGAGTGAGTTTAGAAGCGGTAATGTGAAGCGCCACTACGAGACAAATCACACATCTTTTGAGCAAACGTACCCACTCAAATCCGAAATGAAGGTACAAAAAATAAACGATCTAAGAGCACAAAATGATCAACATCCTAACACATTAATTCACTGTCCGACAATGATGTTAACAGGGAGGAATAGAGCTGAAACAAGTGGTCCCTGCACACAAATTTCTCTTTTTAGAAGATGAAAATAATATGGATATCGTGGCTTTTTTCATTGACCACTTCAACACCTCACAAATTAAAGCTGCAGGGCAAAGACAAAGCAGTTAAATCCATTTTTCTAAAATTACGTACTTTATTTTAAGAGTCACATTTTTCAAAAGCTTACTGATATGTATTTTATTTTTTAAGTCAGCCTACATTTTACTTGAAATAACAGAACATTTATTTATTATTAGAGTATATACAGTATTATTTATAATTAATCCAGTTCATTTTGAAATCTGAAAATAAATATTGTTTAGATATTATTCAAATGAACTTTCTTTATTTGATTAGGCAGTCAGATGTTGACTACATACAGACTTTAATACAACTGTTGGCTGCTTTAATACACATGGGACTAAATCATAGTGCAAAGACATTATTTGGTGTTCCGGACCTTTGGATGAGGAGATTCTCTCTAACTGGACTTCGCTGAACTTCAATTGAATACCCCTGCTTTAGAGAATAGTGGCGTTGTAACTTTCCACACAGAAAGCATCTCTGGGATGGAGTACTCTAGTCTTGATGAGTACTCTAGTCTTCTAGCCTTGCCTCTCTCTCAGGAAATGTCTTTTGAATCAGTCTTGCCTCCCTCCATGGATGTGTTGCTCCGCCGTGACGAAGTGAGCTGTCACAGTCTTTTCCTTTTCATAGAGGCCTGGAACGATCTTCATACTGAAGTGGGTGCGTGATGGGATTTCGCAAAACTGTATTTCACACAATGATGATTAAACTGTAAAAAAACAAACGGATCACGGATCGATCCGATCGATGGCATATTTATCTATAGTTTTACTCTGGATTTGTCTCCTGGTTGTATGGTGGGATGGCACAATACAGTAATATTAATACCTGCAAAATGTAATTTGCTGCAGTGCAACATATGTTGCAATAATATTTTACAGCTATCAAAATGTCTTTGAAGAACCTAAACATGAAAAGGGTCTTTTACATCATTATGTCATGCCATTTATTACACAATTCTCTACACAGAACATAAGCAATGACTGTCTTACACATGGTCATTTGTGGCTCTTAAAAATATTAAAGGCAATCCCCTGTCTGTGTCAATTACCTGTATTGTTTGAAGAAAGCAAAACTGGATCAAGGACTTGTCCAACAAGTTGTCTGAGAAGTAGCCATCATCTCTCAGTTTGTCAAATAGGTCCATCCAAAACTGGACACACTCACAAGACCAGCCACCATCGCTCAATCCGCTGGTTTCCTGTGATTGGACCAAAGGTTACACTGTCTGTCTCAGCTTGGTTCCCAGAAAAATGTAAAAGCCGCTGCATTTCAGCCATATGTCCATTTTCTGTTCTTAAATCAAGTCTGAGTCTGGCAGGGCATTCACCAGCATTGATCACAACATCCATAAAGTAGCCAGCAATGATCTTTGGGTCAAGCTTCAAGCCATATCACCTTTCTGGAAAACCCATCAATGCATCCACTGATTGCAATTCCAAATGGCTTAAGCTTGTCGTAGCCATCAATATGCCAGACATAGTTTGGACCACAGTTGTGGTAAACATGCCTTCTCAGTCTGTTTCTTGACCTCAGATCAACACTTTCACCATCCAATAACTGCAGCAATATTCAAACTGTTTCTCTGTCACTCACAATTCCATGTAACCAACACTTTTGGTGCATCCATCTCTAACCATGACACTGACCAGATGTTTCCAGTTGCTGTTTTCCATAAAGGTTGCCACCTCAGCCAGATCGGTTTTATTCTTTCTATGCCAGAGCTGCGTCTTGCTTACAATTCTTTCAAGGGTGCGTTTGCTTAGTACAATCCCACGTGAAACAGCAAGCAATTGAAGTATTTCATCTATTGTAGAGTCACGTTTAAAGTAGTCTTCGATGTACTCACAATCCATTTATATGTCAAATGTAGGGTAGCCTATGAAGAGCTTCTTCTATGACTGTTGTGTTTAAGTATGTTATAATTTCGACTTTCTAGTTTTATTTTTTCTTTTTGCTTGCAGAAATGGCCTTCCATAGTTTAGAGATTCACCACTTTCACAACATTTTTTTTGTCATCTGTTTATTTAAACTTGTATTGTATATTCCTGTGGTAAAAAAAAAGACTACAAAATTAGCCTTTGTCACACGAATTCCGGTGTAATAGCCTTACCTACAGTTGTGTGAAAAAGTGTTTGCCCCCTTCCTGATTTCTTATTTTTTTGCATGTTTGTCACACTTACATGTTTCAGATCATCAAACAAATTTAAATATTAGACAAAGATAACACAAGTAAACACAAAATGCAGTTTTTAAATGAAGGTTTTTATTATTAAGGGGGAAAAAAATCCAAACCTACATGGCCCTGTGTGAAAAAGTGATTTAAACAATTAGACAAAACAACTTTAAACAAGTGATTTAAATTTGATTTCTGTGCTCATTAGACTTTTTGGTCAGTGTTATTACTACAGATGATATATTGCTGAAACTATTTAATTACATTTTTGTTAATATTATTTCTGACAATGTTATATTGTTATTGTGATGATAATGCTGTATATTACTATTATTATTATTATTACTATAATTGTTAACAATATTATTATTATTATTATCATAATAATTATAAAAAACTGTTATTCACATCCTACCCCATACTGACAACCTCCCATCCGTCTGTCAACCAATGCATTTATTAATCCATGACTATTTATGTATCTTATCTTTTTTTTGTAATGAATACATCTTCTGTTTTTGTACTCTTTTCATTTTATTTATTATATTTAATTTTATTTAATTATATTTAATTTAATTTATTTTATTTTACTTTATTTTACTTTATTTTATTTTATTTTATTTTATTTTATTATATTTTATTTTATTTTATTTTATTTTATTTTATTTTATTTTATTTTATTTATTTTTTTGGTATATTGAAGTATTTCTCTCTGTCTGTCAAAACTCCTCCCCTAACCACAACCTCCCCTGTTGTGCTCTGTCCCGTCCCTGGTGGCTCAAGCTTAATTCAGGGCACTCTGACAGTTCCCTCTGGAGCGGGCAGCATGGGGATGGAAGGCTGGATCACCAGTGACTAATGAGACTGTTAATCCCCCTCAAAAAAAACAGGCCCCTCCTAAGGGTCTGGGAGCTGTTTTTTTATTTGAAGGGATCAATGGGCCAGCCCCTCCTTCAAGGGTCTGGAGGCGACCCAAAGCTGGAACAATCAGTCAAACAAAAAAAGAGAAAAAACACAACAACAATACACAAATTGCCTTTTAAAAACAAAGAATGAATGAAATAAATAACATTTATTGTCAATAACCACAACACCCGGTTGACCCAGCCTGACTGATCCCGCTGACCCATTGTGTTGCTCGGTTCATGTCTTGTCTCTTTTCTTGCAATAAAAAAAATAATAAAGACTGGTTGTTGGTTCTTGTTACTGGAAAATAAACCTGAAGGAATTATCAACAATCACATTGTTATAAAAAACAATTCACTTCCCTACATTTTTGGAGTGTAGGAAACCATGGAAGGATTTCTTGATTTGATAAAATTGTATTCTTTGACAATTACCCAAAACCAATTAATTTATTGTCGCTCACATTTAGTGGTAATACCTAAATTGCTTCATTATAATAATCATTGCATTCAAAAGCAGAATTCATTTAGTGAAAGATGCTGGTAGTCAGACCATAATAGTTTTCTTCATATACTAATTATGAAAAAAAACAACTTAAAGTCACGCCTTAAACTGAAGATATCTGACGTCTTTGAAATGATCCTGTTGCCAGCTCTCAGTCTGCTCAGCTAATGTTAGCTTATGATTTCCAGAGAAAACAAGCTGCTTTTTTATTGAAGTGTTCTTCTTAAAATGATCACTTTACTTTTGTTCTCTAACTTTAGCTGTTGGTCAGTACTGGGCTGGATTCAATCTTAATAGCCTTTGTGTCTAAAGTTAAGTGCATAATGAATAGCCTGGTGAGAGTTGTACATGGCAGAGGTTTCTATCTCTCAAAATCTATTCCTTTGTGAAGGCTGAGAAACTTACACTTGTGGTACCTGTGTTTTCATCATGTGCTCACTGTACTACACACCATTTTAAGGTTTGCCTTGTTTGAGGGGTCCTCTTTGTTGTTGTCTTTCAGTGTATTTCGCTCAGAAGAGTCACGCACTTTAATGGTGCTTTCAAGATGTTCTCTCTAGTCTAGTATGCTTTCTTTATGTGTCAGTATTTGCAATTATTGATTTTGTCAGAGTGCCTTATTCACTTAGAGTGAATACAGACGTACATCAACTAATGTACACTTTTTTTATTAAATGAAATGGGTTAACTCTTACCTGCCTCACACCTTGTTTTTAACGCTTCATTTTTTAAAATCTAATAATGTCCCAACAATGTAAATGAAATTTGACTGAGTGTAAATGAAATAGCTTTATATCAAGAAAAATTATATTGGATTTTACATGTTTTTTTCTGTTTTTGATACAAACATTATTTAAATCAATATCAGTATAGAAAGCTGAAGCTATAGATAATTAAAGAAACAGGATGATAGAAAAGCCCAAATATGTAGTGTGAAGAGTGAGAGAGAACAGAAAATTGAAACAGGGACTTCCCTGAGCCTCCATCATCTACAGGGAGATAAAAAAAAAAAAATCACTCTCACACACAGCCTCCCACACACACACGCACACTGTGCTGAGAGCTAGCAAGGGGCTTTAAACAGCTTCACACTATAGAGACAAAGGGACTGTAACTTGCCACAATGGAGGAAAACATGGATGAATCACAAAGCCAGAAAGGTAAGGCAGAAGACTAATTTGTTCATCTCATTTGTCTTTAATCAGCTGTGCCTTTTGTTCTGTTCATCCGTTCCTCTCGGTATCATGGGATTCCTTTGTGTGTGCAGTGGGCAGAGAGACAGAAGACAGCATACATGTCCTGCAGTAGCAAAAACAAGCAGAGATCTTTGTCTGTACATTTATTTGCCAAAATAGCCTGTTTTCCTAGAAGTGGGACGATAGGCTTTGAATTCTTAATCATACCATCTATATGTCTGCTCATGATAATATCACAGATTATATAACCCTTTTTTGTTGTACGTTTTTTTTTTTTGTGAAGGGATGCATAAATAAGCAGGTTGTTTGGGTTGAGGGTGAGAGGAGACGGCAGACACCAGAGGGTTGGTGTTGTTTTGGAGCCTGTGCTGACAGATGGACGGACAGATGGATGGATGGATGGATGGATGGCTGGGTAGATGGATGGAGGAGTAGGTGGGAGTGGCAAGGGGGGGAGGAGAGGGGTAGAAGAGTGTGGGGCAAAACCTTCCAAAAAAACAGCCAAGTGGTTCAGTGATTGATGCCTGCATTGGGGTTTTCTTTGTTAGCCTTCATTGTTGATGCTCCACGCTTGTCTGAACGCCTTTCCCTCTCCTTTTTCCCTCGCTCTCCCTTTTTTTCTGCCATCTGTGTCACTCCCTACCCTATCCCTCCATTTTCTTCACATCTCTCCATCACTAGCCCTCTCCCTTTCTGTATTTTTTTTCTTCAGTCATTCTCATTCACTATATTTCTACATTCAGTCGGTCTCTCTGCCTTTTCAGGGCTCTGTCTCTTGTTTTCTCTGTCCATCTTTTTCTGTCTCTAACCCTCTATTTTGACTCCTTTCATGTTCACCATCTCACTGTCACTTCCCTCCCTCTCTTTCTCCACCCATTTTTTTTTGCCAATTTCTAATCTCACACAATGAAACATATAAGTAATCTCTTGCCGTATGGTTTTTTTCTTTGCCAAATAGCATATTCATATTTCTTATTGCATTATATTGTTGCTGTCAACGTTAAAAATGGGCGTGTCCATTTCCTTAATTTACCTTCAGTCTGAAATCGGTCATATTGTTGCTGCTTAAACTGATTCAGAAATGTAATCGAGGATGCATCTGTTTAATCAAAAATAAACAATTATTTGCATTTGTCACACTATTCACGTTTATTAACACTGTATCCATGGTAACACGGCTATTGAAATTGTATCCCGTTGTGTGATAGGCGGATTCATGTATTTTTCTCTGGAAGGAACCTGTTTTAGCCAATCAGAAAGCCAGAGAGGGAGGCATGATGTTTCAAGCAAACGTGATTTTTTTATTACAGATACTTTTTCTTTTTTTTCTGTTCTTCCTATCTATTAGTTCCCATCCCACATCTGCGTCATTCTGTCCATCGTCATTGCTTTCTTTTTACACCCCCCCTTATCTTCTCGTTTTAATGAATGGGATGCGCACATTTGACAAAGTACAGGTGTGTTTCCATGTGTGATGAACTATGGTAGGTTAGACGACGAGGAGACATGGGGGAGTATGTGAATCTAGGCAGAGACAGCGAGTGATGCCGAGCGGCTGGTAGAGACATGAAGAGAGACTACAGCACCATATGTCGTACACGGGCCTAATTTTAAACTGATGACTTACCTTGAATTTAGTATTTAATATCAATGTGATGAGATTGAAAGTGATTTTCACATTTCTAATGCAAGGATGCACCGTTTTCTATCCAGAGAATGTGTGGAATTGGTTCTATGTCAGGGATCTGGTTCGGGTCTTAAATCAGTTCCACACAAGGCCTAAACCTTAATCTTGTGTCACAAATGGTCATCAGTTCTCTGCCCTCGTGATCTTTGAGGTTTTAGGATAACTGTTTGTTTCTTTTCTTATGTTGCTGAACTTGGCTGCACACATGACTGACAAAGATGTGCTGCTGGCTAATATGATTAATAACAACAAATCATTTGTGCAAAGTGCAGAATTCTAAAGTCTGATTAGTCTTCTGATTATTATACAGCATATCCATACGCCTTGCCTAAGTCGTATCATTTATTGTAGAAGTCAAACGGAAAACTGGCAGGAGTCATACAACTGAAAGTGGACTTTGTGTATTCGCCTCGTATCCATTTCATTATTATGACCACTAATAGAAAGGAACTTAATGGACAGAGGAATAAGTCAATACAAATTGACTTGCAGGCCCACAGAGGGTGTGAGGGGTGAGGAGCACGGGAGAGAGAAAGAAGCAGAGGAGGAAGCCGTGGCAATAGTGCGCTCTGCTGCATCTCTCTGAAGATAATTTCATGACCTTTTATTGACATAAGAAATACAAAACTAGCTAATCGAAATGTCCAATCTGCTGCCTGTGAGTGTATGGCATTTACACACTATGAGCAGCTGGCTAACTGGTCTGTATTATGACCAATAGTGGGTGGAAGAGGTTAACACAAACTTTGATAGCAGATCCGCCATCAGATCTTCATCATCAAGGCTCAAGGACCAAATATATGTAGGTGAGGAGTTGTGGTTGACCCTGTTGCTGGGTATGGTTGTTTTTAGATGTTTGCATTGTTTTTCTAAATGCACAGAGAGCGAGAAACCTACACTATATACTCAATCAACCACAAAGGTGTGGTATTGTGACACTCTGAGTAGCTGTGACACATTATGAGCTTGCGGTATACTGTATCTATACTTGTATTTGAATGGAGGGTTTCATCAGAGAATCCTATGTCATTGTCTCAGAGGCTGCTGTCATAGTGTCTCGGCAGCGCTTCCAGTTCCTCGATGGAGCTGCTCAGAAACATTATTCTGTGGATGAAAACATCACTTTAGTCTATCTCTCTGCCATTTGGCTTAAGGAGGGATTGGTTACAATTCTCCACGAACTATTTCAGTGGGGATTTTCCTTTTAACAGGAAAAATATCTTGCAAATGAATTGTCATTTAAATAGCTTTCTGTATTTTATTTATGTTGTGTGAAATGGTGTTTCAGACTGTTCTGAATATTTGTGTTTTATGACAATGAAACTGGAAACAAGTCAATGCAGAATGTCCCCTTTAAGGCATTTATTTATTTAGGTGTATTTATAGGTTTATATGTGCACAGTCTACTCAGGTTAGATTGCAAAAGGATTTTTTTGGAAAACGGATACAGTTAAATACATTAACTACAACAACAAATATTGCACACTTTATATTTCTGTTCACCATTTGTCAGGCTGTCGTCAGGCTGATGTTTTCTGTTGTGAGTCAATTTAAAAAATGTCTTGGTGGAATATATTTATATTTATGAAATCAGAGTTTTGAGAGTTGAAATACAAGAAACCATCTATTGCCTGTGATCAGTCACGAAACTGAAATGTAACTTGAAAAAAAGGATTTAGGAGAGAGCTGTGGGCGGCGCATAGAGGCACACCTTAATACTCCTCAATGCATTCGATTTTTTTTGTTGTCTTAACTTCACCTACAAGGGAAACACATAGTCCATCTAGAATGTTCAAGTTTTTGTTTTTATAATTACCCAATCATGATTACATGTCGCTTTGGCAGGTAGACATGAGCAGTACATGCCCATTCCATTTGTGTGCCCATTGACAGTATCAGCTGATTAATGCTGTAATGCCTCCTGTTGACGGCCTGCTTGAGAATCTGTCTGTCTGTCTGAAACGCATCCATCACTGAAATGCGATTGGTCTCGCGAGTCACTGGGGCTTCCCCTCCTACTGTCTCTTGTACAGCTGCTCTGTATCCTCTTTATGTTAAAGCAGTCATGAAAAAGAGGATGGTGCTGGAGCGGGGCTGCCTTCCTGCAAAAATCACAGCCGATATTGTCATTAACAGAAAATAGAACTATGTCATCCTACATTTTTGCAAGGACACAGTGGGGAACTGGTGAATCCTGAGGATGCTTGCTTGCTCGGCTATTGACTTGCTCTTCTCCTATAGTGATTTTAGCTGAACAATTTCTTGGTGATGAACCACTTATTCATCCAGTCAGCACTGTGTACTGATCTCCAGCTACTGTGAATGCAGGTGGAAAGCATCCGGCACAACAAATTATATCCAAATAAACATCTATTGTAATGTTTAGTGCATTTAAAAATCGAACAATCTTGGCATGTCAAACAGGAACAGGATTTGAGATTCACATTTTTTTTATCTGACTGAAATATATCTCGCCAAATTATCGACTGGTTCCTTGCTTGCTTTAACAACTCAGGCTCTATGAGTGAGTGATGGATGAAGAGGCAAGGAGGGATTTGTTTGGCTGCTAGGAGAATCATTTCAGGAGTCAATGCCAGCAGAGTCTACAGTTAACTGTGTGTGTGTGTGTGTGTGTGTGTGTGTGTGTGAGTCACACACAGAACATTTCCACAATCCACACAAAAGGACCTTCTCTAAATCTTCAGACTTGAACCAAACAGTATTCTCTGATTTGTTTTAATAATCATATATTTACATTTTTCTGGGTTATACTCCATTGTGCTCAACTGCATCTCACTCGAAAGCCTGCAGTGGGGATGAACTTGGAATTGACTGTTGAGTGCATCTTCATGCCACTGTATGTGTGTCTCTGATGTATGCGCTTGTGTGTGTAAGTGTGTGAGTGTGAGTGTGAGAGAGAGAGAGAGAGAAAGAGAGAGAGAGAGAGAGAGAGAGAGAGAGAGACCTCAGTAATCCTCTCTCAGAGCTAAGACACAGTGATGCAGACAGACAGACAGACAGACAGACACACACACACACACATACAGCAGTGCATTAGACAATCAGGCTAGACAGCATTGGCCAAATTTCTTGCCAAATGAGCACCAAGTCTCAATGTGAAAGTATGAAAGCGTGTTTGAATGGGAAAAGCTAGAAAAGAACTGTGTGCGAGAAACCACTCCCAAATAACACACCATGATCGGAAACGTCTTATGTCAAATGATTTGGTCAAATTTGGTCCTATAGATGGTTCTATATGGGAAAGACCATTGGATGATCAAAATTAAAAGGATGGATTTGTAAATATGTGAATATGAATTAAGTCCTGGTGGTGGTGGTACTAGATTAAATGAGGAATGATCCTCTGGAAACAATGACAATTCATGCTCAAGATCAATGTGTTGGATGGACGGACAAATAGACCGACGGACATTACCATCATTAGTCCAAGACGTTGGTTTTCCATCAATCATATTTCCAGTTCAAGTTGATTGTCATCCGCACAGAAACCACCAGGAACGTATACAATGACATTACCGATGTGTAATATATAAAAGATTTCATCGATGTCTAATATGAATGAATGAAAAAAGTAATAAATAATGAATAATACAATGTTGCTGTAAACACCAACCTGTGTAAAGGAGAAAGGGATATCACGAATACATTTTTAAATGATTTTAAAATAATTCAAAGAAAACAGGAAATAAAAAATGGGGATGACCGACTCCCTTATCAATGTTGCAGATACATTACGGTCTTTTTGAATAATAGGATGGCAAATAGATTCTTGTTGTAATAGCACATCTGAAACTATTTCCCTCTTCCTAAACAAAGAAAGCATCCACACATAGATGCAGTACATGGCTGCTTTTTAACCTATTCCACTTTTTAGCAGGTCACAGCGTCTGTCCTGTGTTGTGAAGCCCAAATACGGAAATATGGCGAGGATTATAACATGACAGAAATTCAGGACACACACACACACACACAGACAGTGTCAGACACAGAACTGCACTGTCATATACATGCGGATATGAAAATATTTATACGCAAGACACAAACACATTGCATGAAACCCCCTCTCTCTCAAAAAACAACATTCACACATGCCTGTAAAAACACATTAATATCACAATATCATCATTTTCCTCTCTATGCCTGCCCATCTGCCTCAGAGTTGTTGCTATGATGTGACCTGGATCTGATTCTTTATGAATGGCTTTTATGGCATTACAAACATGAAATGATTCAGGTGTGTGTAAAACAAACCATTATTAGAATGTGGCACGTGCACATTTTGGAAATTCTGAATCTAAAAATGGCACAAAATGGTACCTTCCTGCTGGACATAGCAGACATTTTTGTTCCTCCGTAACCGGCTCATATTTTGTAGAGAGGCACATTGAAATTGTACATTGATTGTTTCCACAAACTAAGACCATCGTGAAGCTGAAGGCTGACTTTGTGTTTATGTAAATGTGTTTTTGTGCGTTCATTGCTGTGTGTGTGTGTGTGTGTGTGTGTGTGTGTGAAAAAGTGCATTAGTGTGACTGTACGCAGATCCACACTGTTGCCATGACAATGCTACAGGCAAAGTGGGTCAGCAGGCTCCTGCCACACCCCTGTTGGCATGGCAACAAGGCTGGTCCATTAAACCTGAGCAGCACGATGACTCACACACACACAAACACACACACATACACACACACACACAACAGGGAGAGGGGGGTAGGAAAGCGTTGTTTGTGTGATTGTCTTTCTGTAGGATTGCTGCTCTGTCTACATGCAGGCTCCAGTGAGTCCGCATAGCTACATGTGGGCTTATTTTAAAGACGGAGTGTGTGTTCAAGTTGATATGGATTTTTAAAGTCCAGAATGGAGACTTTTAAAGAAAGCAGTAGACGTTACAGCTGGTTGTGATTGGCAGAAACACCTGTCAAACAAGCAAAGCTAGCCCCAAAACATACACCTCTTTTAATGGCCATTATGTCTTCTTAATCAAAATGGAATCTCAAAATCACCCCCAATACATACACCACACAGC